TAGGAACCACCCTCATTAAGCAAAACAGAGAGGAGAACTTGTTAAGCACAAATGAGGCACAGCAAATAAATGAAAAACCATTACATTCATTCAAAAAAGGAATTGAAACTACACAAATCAAGCAGAACTTCAGACTCTCAAGAAAAGATAGCTGAGGGCCGAGGGCGAAACAACAACAACAACTGATTATTTGGTGGCCTTTCATAATCTTCATACTTGTTTCTAAACCAGGCTAACATCTGTCTAGACCAATTATCCTTCATAAAAGTTATGCATATTTTCCTTTCTAACCTCCCCCCATGCACACATTGATTATCATCTCTGAAGTTAAATTAGGGTGTGACTCCACAGCAAGGAAAATATGCTTTGATCTGCTGTGATTCATGCTGCAGTTTCTACAACCTCACATGCTGCCTTTAGGAGGTTTGTAAAAGCCAGACTCAAAGGGGAGGGATTTATCTTGGTTTATATAATAAAAAACAAGGTCCTGCTTGGGGGGAGGAAGTTGGCCTATATTCAGTTCCAATGATTTGGCCATGCATAGAATCAACTGGGGATATGATGTAAAGTCTTCAGAGGGAGGTGGGGGATGGATATCAGTGACATTCGAATCTGGTGTAGGTAAATTTGAGGGGGATTCCTTAGAAACCTCTGAAGGTGGGTCTTGCTCAAAGACCAATGAGATGGAAAAAGCCCTGGATCCTCTATTAAGAGACAGAGGTGGTGAAAGTGAACAAGGGTGAGATCTCAATATGGAGGTTGGGGCTCAGGAAATTGGTGTGAAGGTCTCTGTGCCATGTAGATAAGCGATTCTAGAAGATGCACCCTGGTGAGACTGAATGTGAGATGCTTTCGGATGGGATACCGAGGGTGATGGTATCGATGGAGCCCGAGAATGCTTTGCAGGGCATGATGGATGTGGATCCTGCTGTGGTAGATGGCGTTTATTAACAGGCTTTGAGTCCATAGGGGAGTGTTGGAGATAAGCTCGATGCCAACATCGAGGCAATGAAGGCGATGGAGATGAACCTGATGAGGAAGCATAGACATAATGTACCCTCTTGGGCCTGACATAATCGTCGGCGTCGTAAAAGGGATCAAGATCATCCCCACGGTACCAACGTTGACCGCCATGCCCATAAATTTCCACATAAAGTGGCTCTTCATAGTCAGTGAAAGTATGCCACTGAGATGAGTGTGGAAGAATTATAACCTCCCGATGCTGAGGGAGTTGTTGGCCTGGAGAAACATGCCAATGTTTTGTCAGATGCTTATGTGGAGGGGATTGTTGTGGTGACAGTTGAATCACTGTTGCCCGCCCGAATTACATAGGGCTCAAATGGGCTGAGGCCGGGCTGGAGATTACATCAGCCTCAGAATGGCCATGACTCGCTCAGAAACGATACCAAAACCTGTGTCTGTAGCTGCGGTATAAAGCCATCCCCTTCAGAATGTGATTCAGGATCATGAAGCTCCCTGGAAGATTCCTTGAGTATCGGTGAGTGCAGGGTGACTCGAACTGGAGGAAGTTCCTTCAGTTGAACAGACTTAGAAGGCCGTTTGGCCTTTTTATGTTTAACTACCTTCTCCTTTTTCTTGGGGTCTTTAACAGATGGCAACTTCAATGTCGATGCCGACCCCAAAGTTGAAGACCTCTTCAACTTGGACACCTTCGAAGAAGCTCTCGAATAATGAGTAGCAGGCGCCAGTGAGGCAGCAGGATCTGGAAGAGGAGTGGGAGGAGAAAGAGGCATGGTAGGTTCCATGGATGATGAGATCGATGGTGTTAACGACTTCTCCCAAAGATATGAGCAGAGGCGCTGTAAGCAGAGCTTCAGGGCGGGCTTGGTTAATTTTTTACACTCTTGACAAGAGCTGGGCTGGTGTCCTTCCTCCAAACAGAATAAACAGTGGTCATGGCTACCCGTAAAATGAATCTTGTTAGCACACAGCATACAGCATTTGAATGGGCCTGAAGAGGCCATCAAATTTGGCAGGAAAAGGGAAAGATGGTGGAAAAGAAAAAGACTCACGAGAAATGTTAACAATAGCAGTCCAGGATCAAAAACCTGAGGAATCACGCTGAGAAGATAAAGATCCAAGTATCAAATCCAATTCCGCAATCCAAATCACAAACGGTAACCAGACCAAAGGCCAAAAACCAGACACAATAATGGTAGCCAATCCAAAATAAAAGAATCCAAAATCAGGTCAGTCCAAGTTGAAATACTCCAGATAATAAAAACCGTAGACAAGAAAACAGGCCAAGATCAAATCCCCCAAATTTAAATGAATTCAAACAGCTCTAGGCATCAAGAAGGAGTCTGATTGCAGCGGTGGCAAAAAGGAACTGAGGTACCGCAGGCGGGGCATGCGCACCACGGGGAAACTTTCTATTGGTCAGCTATTTAAGCTCTAGAATATTCCAAAGAGTCCTGCGCAGGCACAGTTTAACCCATTCGTGTGCATTCACAGAGACCACGAAGAAGAACTTTTATTCTTCTACTTATAATCTCTCAGAGTGAATCATTAAGCAAGGAATGGGTGAAGTTGGGTATCCAAACTTTACAGGGACTTCACACACAAAAGTCAAAATTTCTGAATCAGCTCTGCTCACCCTGAGAGATTTGTCTTCTCACCTGGATATCCGGAGAAACCTTACAGTTTCTTGAAACCTCAGCTGACACATTTAGAACTTAGTGCTTAATCAACTATAGGAACATTCTAGCAACTTATGCCTATTATATGTCTAAACATAACAGGGTGAGGGAATGGTTGATGTACGTGAGCATTTCTTCCATTGAAGCATGGTCTGCAGACAGCATCATGATGAAAAATCTGATGATCATGTTAAGAGATGTGACATATGATCTGTAGATACTCTCACATCCTTTAGGGACAGTCTAGTCAAACTACTAAATAAACCATTAATGCTTTTTCACAAGGAGCACAGTTTTGTATACTTTCTAAGAAAGGTAAGCTCAAGTTTTTGTGCCTAATTTTTTAAAAAAGAATTATGTTCAATTTATTAAAGTAGTTTATTTAGCCATTCATCAACATGCATACGAAGTACAAAGCAAGTTGCCAATTTCCAGCTCAGTCTTTAGCCCCCGTCACCATTGGGTTTCATACACAGTGTCTAGTGCTTACAGGAACAATTGTTTAAATGAACCAGACTTTTAACATGTACAGAATGTTGCATCTCAAACACACAAAGAAAACGAACAAGCACTTTCTAAAGCCTGCTAAAAGTTTGGGATCAGCTGGGAGGGCAATCTGGATTTCAATGCTAATTGCATGCATTCTGATTTATCATAGAAGATTCAAGTCCTGGCACTTTGCATTTGCTCCAAAATGCTGGCATAGCTGGAAGTGCAAAGGGGGAAAAGATGCTGTAACAATCTCATTGTTTAGTGTCTGACAGCCTGACTAGCTAAACATCTGTTTGAAATATTAATAACTGTCAGATGGGAACAGCTCAGGGGCTCTGTACGGTTTCACACCATCTGCTTGTAGAATAAACACACTTACACACAAACCCTTTAAAACATTTTGTCTGAGTTCTATATTCATGCCTTACCATTGTTTGCCTATGTAGGTTGATGAGAGATAAAGGAATATACCAGCCCAGGACTGTGCAGATAGGTAGATCTCAGCATGTCCCAGAAAAAGACATTAAAAGAGGGGCTGATTCAAGTTGCACTGTTGACATGTTTGCCATTCAACAATTACACATTCCCCCCAGTGAACCACTGTTAGTATCCATAAGCTAGCAGTGGTCTGTACGGTGGATAGCCATGACCAACTGTAGCTTGAGAGGACACAACCAGTGCATGTTGTGTCAGTGTACACACACTCCCCACTCCTGTTTCAGGAGAATCTGCAAGTGTACTTGGCTGCATAAATGTGAACTGGACCAGAGAATCAAAAACATACAATAAAAAGAAATAATTCATATATATTTAACCACAAAGGAATAAAGTAACTAGCAGCCAGTAGTAATTAATTTAACAATCCAGGTTAATACATTGCATAAAGAAAACTGGGCTTGTATTACATCCAAGCTTAAGGAGAAGGGCATTTGTCTACCTGTCTAACCATCTAATCACATATACCTTGAGAATACATACACACGTTCCTTTTTCTTAGGTTTAATCCAAAGAAGTTCAATACAAAAATGCAGTTTCCCTTGACCTGCATCTGATTTATTTGCCAATCTCTAACTGGTTCTACATCCTGTATTCCTGCTTTTCTGTTGTTGTTCTTCTGTATGTTTGATCCCATTTCTTCCACTTACAAACTATTACTGGTTTTAAAATGATATATCGTGGTTCACCTCTACCAGCTGACAAGAACTCTAGCTTTCTTCCAACACCCACAGTCAATTTACAACTACTGTTACACCAACCTTGTCAGTGTCATAACTCTGATCACTGAATATTTGGCTCTCTCTTTATGCTGAACTAACAATGAGCACCTTTAGGTGGAAGCAACAAAAGAGGAAGCAATAGCACATGCAGCCTATGCTTTCTTTTCCCGTGCTTCCAAATCAAGTCCAAAGTAGAGATGGCCTTCCCTGACTATTCATGCATTTAGTTTGCAAACTCGTTGACGAACAATTGTCCTTTCCTAATCACACTTCAAAAGACAAACATCCAGAAGATGAATCCCTTTCTTCAGGATGTCTATTCTTACCAATGGTATCTTGGTCTTTTTGTTTTAAACATGATGGCCTGAATCCATTGCTAAAGAAGCAAACTCACTGAATCAAGGGGATGTTCATAAATGCTCACTTACCATTTATAACTGATTCAGTTGATCTGCTCTGGTTGGGACTAGCAGATGGATTTAGGCCAGTCTATCAGGCCAATCTGTATTTTCTAACACTCTCCTGGTCTGCCCCATTAAACTCTAGAGAACAAAACCAGGAATTTTTAAAAGAGACTGTATTACTGAAATGTTTTCTTAAAAGCAGATAAAGAGATATAGGACTTGCTCACCAGGACTCTCAGAACTGTAGTTCCCACCGTGACATTCTCAAATAGGCTGATATTGTACAGGACTTGGCTGAAAATTGGCCGGTTGTCGTTCTCATTGATAAGGTTGATCTTCACCCGTGCAAAGCCTACGTGATCTGGTATGCTCTCATTTGCAAACAGCTGCGTGGAGAAAAAGCAGCAAATGGTGAGTACAAATATCAATTCGTTTATGTATATATATTTTAACGAGAAGCTTTAAATGCCCCATGAACTCTTTTGATGGACTGTTATGATAGCAGCTAGCATTTGGCTGGCAGACTGTGCACCAGACTGTAAGCTCAAACATCACTGAACATACATGATGGATGGATGCTCGTCTGAGGACATTTTTCTGCCTGAGGAACAAATGCCATTGCTCTGAATCTCTAGGGCCACAGTCCCTTAGATTATTTTGGCCACCAAGGGAGGCCAACAATAAAATGAATCTGATAGTGGTAGGGCCAATCTGGAATCGTCCAACCCTCGAAGAATGAGGGCAGCATCTCAAATCAGAAAGATACCCATTTTGATCTAAAATACCACTTTAAATCAGTTTAGCAATCACCAGTTGTTGAACGGAGGTGGAAGTATCTCCTTCCCATAGAATCTGGAGGAAGAGTTTGAACTGGTAAATGGAAAACTATCAGAACTATAGGAAAACTGCTTTCTGGATTTGGAAGAGGTGCTGGGCAGACCATGTACCTTCTAGCTGATAGGGGTAGCCAGAGAAATTGCTAGTGAGTCTAACTTACTCAATATTCCCTACACAAGGAAGAAGGGTGTGCATATATATACACAAAGACTCTGTTTCTCCTCCTCTTGCTCCTGTGAAATAGCACTAGCCATGGCCAGGGTGTTCCTGCCTGCCTGCTTGACAGCTCTGGAGCGGGGAGGCACCAGCCACCTAAAGCCGCCAGAATATCATTGTGGAGTGCCAGTGCTTTGCACAGAGATGGAAACTGCTTATTGTATGCAAATGCACATCTTCTGCTTTGCACAACAGACCCTTCCGCGGCTGAGGGCATGCAAGCAAAATACATAAATATGCCCAATGGACAAGCAGGAGTGGCCACGCAGTATTGCAGAGGCAATGTTTGGCAGACATAGCCACAAATTGTTAAGGGCCAGAGGCTGAGGTGAAGAGTGGAGCTGTTGGCAGGTTGGGGGTAGAGAGAAGAGGTTTAAGCTACATAATTCCAGTGTTGCTCTTAATCCCAAACCAGCCATTCTCTTCTGCTTTAACATACCTATAAGGAGTTGGAAGACATGGGTACCACTTCAGTATTATGTTTGTGACAAAAGCATCAATGCCCAAGGGACTGCAGTGTAGAGATTTGCCATTACCTTATCCTCTAACCTTCTAAACCTAGGCAGGATTTAACCTAAAGATTTACATTTCAATTTTATACCTTGTTCTGCTCTAGGAAGGCAAGATTTTATTTATGCCTCCTCGCTGGTGTATAAAGGTCCCACTGTCAAGACTAATAGCAACAGAGGCTGCTGGCATGATGTTTACAGAGCTGCTTTGACTTTTCACAAATTTACAACTCAAGCAGACACTGGGACAAAGCTCAAGCAGGCAGCTGGAAAAAGCTTCACTGCCTGATAGGTGCATTTAAACCGAAGTTTTATAGAACATAAAACTTTTATAGCTTCAAAACATAAAAAGGGAGGGGTGTTCTATTTAAGCTACTGCAGCTGGAGCCTTAAATTTTAGAAGATAAGGCTCACAGCAGATCTCTTTTCATTTTCTTTCTTTTCTGGCTAAATTTTAATACTACGAAAAACAGACAGTATGGTTGGTTTAAAGTAGCAAGTGCTGTGAAAGCCCCTCCAGATGTGTCTCTTTTTCATTCCTGGTTCTTAACGGTGCTGTAATACTCAGATTTTGTCACCTTGCCAGCCTACTGTCCTGCTTTCCATAACACGGATGTTAGACAGTAAATAGTAGAACCTATACAACACCCAGCTTTTGTCTGTATGTTTTGGTCATTCTCTTGGAGCAGATAGGCCAGCGCAGGTTTGTCAGCCATAAGGGTTGCAGTGTTTTTGTGCCTCACAGCTGCTCCTCCCAATCCCCTCCTGCATCACTTAGGAGGCTATAAGTCCCAAGTCTGAGTCTTTGGTACCAAGTCCTTATTAAAAACAAGCTCTTTTTGTCCTCCCCCCCCAAAAGAGAGAGAGAGAGAGAAAGAGAGAGAGGGAGAGGGAGAGGGAGAGGGAGAGAAGTGTGTATGGTTTCCAAGTCACAAGTCGAATACGTGTAATTATAAAATGCACACACACAAAGTCATGTCCGAGTCGAGTCACCAGTGTGACTTAAGTCCAACTTGTTGGCGAGCCCCACAACTCAAGTCCCCATCCCTGATATAGGCAAGCTAAGATTCTGCAAATACTCTCCACTGCGCGTTCTGTAGGAAATAATTCCCATTAAATTGAATGGTTCTTCAACTACTTTTAGGAAATGTCACGCATTCCCGAAAACTATACTGTACCCCATAAGACACCCCTTTCAATTATAGGTCTGGTCCTGCTTTTCCATCCATACCATGCCCCAGGACACTTGCCTCTGACATTCAGGACTGCTCTCCTTGATATGAGGAGAACACCCTTGAAGGTCGCTCCTGTTACAAAAATAATACAGTGGTACCTCGGTTTAGGAATGCCTCGGTTAATATAATTTTCGGTTTACAAAGCAAAATCCATTGAAAAGAATGCTTCGGTTCAGGGTTTTTTTAAAATGTTTTTTTTTTAGTACAAAGAAAGATTCCCTGGGATGCATTGTGCCTGGAGGTTTGGCTTTTTTAAAAAATGTTTTTTTAGTACAAAGAAAGATTCCCCGGGATGCATTGTGCCTGGAGGTTTGTAGCACCACCCCCGTTCCTATGGCAATCCACATTTCATTACGTAATGTCCAAGTAGAATGCATTAAATTCGTAAACTGAGGTACCATTGTCATTGAGAAGTTTCTATAAATAAGCTGATTGTGCATGCTAAAAAAATAGTGACCAAACACATGATTAGATTTATGACTGCCTTCTTTATGACAGTTTTATTAGAGCTATTCCATAAAGGAAGATGTGAAGCCCTAAAAGTGAAAATGCTTTGCAAACCTTCTTTAGTGCAAGTCCCAAAGCACTAGTTCAGAAAAGACCTTTGGCCACCGTAAGCTGCTCTGTCTGTCAAGCAGGGCTAGGTAAATTTAGCGGGCTATATGGCACTTGTTCTCCATCGTGGGTCCCCAGATGTTCTTGGATTAAAACTCTCAAAATCCATCACCATTAGCTGTCCTGGCCAGGAGTTCTGGGGGCTGTGGTCCAAGAATATCTGGAGACCCAAGGTTGGGGAGCCGCTGCTAAATAGCTTAGCGATTTGGACCACCTGGGTCAGGAGTTTGATCCCCAATGTGCTTCCTGGGAGAAAAGTCAGCCTCTGTAGCCGTGGACAACCTTCACAACACCACCAGAAGAGGAGAATTGGTAACTTCATAGAATCATAGAAGACAAAGACTGAAAGGGACTGCAGCCTGGCCCTCAGCTAAAGAAGGAAACCCCTACCTAAAGCATCCATGACAAGTTCTCATCCAACTTTGCCTTAAACATTTGGAGACTCTGCCACCTTATAAGGCACTCCCCATTCCATTGTCAAACAGCGCTCATTATTAGGAAGTTCTTCCTCATGCTGAGTAGAAAATTCCTGTCTTGTAGTTTAAATCCATTACTTCAGATCCCACACCCTGGAGCTGCAGGAAACAAGCTCCCTTCATGTTCCAGTTCAGCAATGGCCGATGGAGGACAATGGGAGAACGCCCCTTTAAATGCCCTCTGCCTAGCCCATGACTGTCCTGGCGTTCGGCCACCCAACGTCACGCGTTAATCTGGGCAAGTTGGCAAAGCCCCGCCTCAATAATTGGATCCCTTCAGTCCCTCTATCGGCGTGACCATTCAAATATTTGAAGATGGCTATCAGATCTCCCCACAGTCTTCTCCCCACCAGACTAAACATGCCCAATTCTCTCAGATGTTCCTTACACAGTTTGGTTTCCCAATCCTTTAGCATTTTGGGTGCCCTCTTCTGGACATGTTCCAACTTTTTAATATTCTTCTTGAACTGTGGTGCTCAGAATGGACACACTATTCCAGTTGACATATGACTAATGCAGAATAGAGTGATACTGTTGCTTCTCTTGATTTGGACAATATACTCCTGTTGATGCCATCAAGTATCACATCAGCTCTTTTTGCTGCAGCAAGATACTGCCAATTCATGTTTAGCTTGTTCTCTACTCCAATCCTTTTCACATGTGCCAAGTCACCAGTCTCCCATGCTACATTTGTGTATACTGTATTATTTTAAACTTCATTTTGTTTATCTTGGCCCAGTTCTCAGTTCTGTTAATGTCTTTCTGAATCTTGATTCTGGTTTGTTTGTTTTTTTAGTGCTAGCCACTCCTCCCGGATTAGTGTCATCTGCAAATTTAACAAGCATCTCCTCCATACCCTAATCAAAGTTGCTTATGAAAATATTGAACAACACTGGGGCTAAGGCAGAACCCTGCGGCACCCCACTACTTACTTCTCTCCAAGATGATGTGAACCCTGGCAGGTACAGTGGACCCTCGACTTACGGAATTAATCCATATTGGAACGTTGCCGCAGGTCGAAAAGTCCGTAGGTCGAGGGTCCATTTCCAAGAGGAATGCACTGAAAACCATTTAATCCATTCCAGGCAAAGAAAAAAAAAATCCCGGGCTTCCAAAGCTGTACCCGCTGCCCTCTGTCTCCCGTCCCTGGTGCCCTCTGCCTTCTGTCCCTGTGTGGACAGAAGGTAGAGGGCACCGGAGATGGGAGACAGGGAGAGCAAAGGGATTTTTGAAGCTCGGAAAGCCGAAAGCTGCTCTGTGTGGACAGAAGGCAGAGGGCACCGTGGATGGGAGACAGAGGGCAGCGGGTGCAGCTTTGGAAGCCCGGGAAGCCGAAAGTCGCTCCGCGCCCGCTGCCCACAGGGACAGAGGGCAGAGGGCAAGCAAAGGAGGTTGTGAAGCCCGGGGAGCCGAAAGCTGCTCTGCTCTCCCCCTGCCTTTCATAGGTCAAAGCTCCGGCCGCAAGTCGAACGAAAATTTTGTAGCTGGAGTTTTTCGTACCTCGAAATTTTCGTAAGTAGGGACCTTCGTAAGTCGAGGGTCCACTTTGGTTATGGCCTGTCAACTAGCTACAAATCCTACCTAAGGGTAGCATCATGTAACCCACATCTTACTATCTTGGCCATCAAAATATTATGAGAGATTCTGTTGAGAACCTTCCTCTGGAAGAAATTTAGGATAGTATGTTTTCCCTCATCTCACTTTCACCTTGGTTCACAATGATGTTTCATAAACAGGCAGACCAGGGACCAAGCAGTGGGCTGGTACACTCACATTAAAAAAACAATTATCCAAAAAACCAAGTGACTTGTTTATTTTATTTTAACTTTTATCTGCCCACGGTGAATAGAGACAGGTCACTATCTTAAAATAAGAACTTACAAAGACCGTTTATAATAGTCTACCATTATATTACACACATGTTTTTACTTTTAAGGGAACTGCTTGTACAAGTCAGTTCTTTATTAAAAATATTACATGAAAATGGGGAAGGTATTATAGCAGAGTTCAATGGCAACTATTCTGGGATGCTTTCTGGAAAAGAACCATGTATGCACAAGCTCCATACAGCTGTGCTCCATTAAGCATCTGCCTGCTCTGGCATAAAAATCATATGACCTAATTCAACCACTGCTTGGCCCATGGCATCGGGGTTGTAAAATTTATGAAGATACACAAGCTGCATTTTAACTACTTCATATAAAGTGTCACACCTGGAGAAGAAAGAAACAGAACAGCCACGTCTTAAACAGGCATTAGGGAAGGATACTTTTTAAAGAGACAAAAGAGAAGAAATTAGAAATTGGTTGGAAGCTTATTGACCAGGAAAAGGATATTTTCTGAATTAGTCCAGTAGGATAGAAGCATTTATACAGCAATATTTAAGGACAGACAATGTTAGAAACATATTTAATTTAAAAGAGACTCTAGTTGCTGTCATGCAGTTATCCCCAAACTGTTACGCTTTGGATGGGTTAGACTAAAGCTCCAATCATCTCCAGTCACTCTGATTGGCCCTACTAACAGAAGTCAATGTGGGTTGTAGTCCAACCCATTGTGAGCACATCAGTATCACTTATCTTCCAAATACTTTTACCATAATGGCTAAGAATATCTGGTCTTCTTCCAGGGCTGTTCTAAAAATTTCTGAACATGAAGGACTCTCAACTTTTGAAAATATGTTTCTTAAAACATAATAATCATGATTCTGTTTTGCAAACTGAATATTTTACCATGTAAGTCACTGGAAGCGCAGGTCATCAAGGAAGACTTAAAAAACTGAACTTTTTTGCAGCAAATTCTAATTCAACCATAATCAGTAAACAAATCTAGCTCCACTTTACACATTATCATGGACCATAAAGTAGACAAATCAGGCCAAGCTATCTTCAGTCCCTCTTCCTTCCCATCTCTCCCTGTTATCCATATATCACTTCCAATATCCTTACAGAAAATTCATAGCGAGGGATGGTCTCAAAATCCAGTGGCACTGCAACTCTAATCCGGATGTCCGCCTTTCCTTGAATTGAAGTTGGGGAGATGATAAAATGGTTGGAGTCGTTTCCCACCAGGTACACTTCGAAAACGCTGTTGAGTCCCTGTGGAAACAACAAAAACTGTAACATTAAAACAGAAATTAGCCCAGGTTGACTGGTGGTGTACTGAAGGGAACGGCACATGAAAACATAACAGAGGTACAGCAATGGTAGTCTGTAGTCTGGCACAAAGAAAACAATGAAAAGTGTGGCACCTTAAAGACAAATCAAGCTGTCTTGTCAAGCTGAGATAGCCCACATTAATCAGAACAAAGAACTTGGCAGGCACTTTCATACCCCTAAGAAGTTACATAACTGTGATTGTCACTAAATTGGAACATTTGAGGGGAATGGCATTCACCGGGGTCACAAAACATCCCACAATACAAGAATCACACATTTCATTTCATTTTATTCCCACCTTGTCTTTTCTGGCTCTGGGTGCTTCAGTGGAACACAGTTGATACTGCAGTCTGCATCCTGAACTCATATGGGGAAAAAAAAATCCCCTCTGAATTTGCCCATGAATTAATGTTATCCAATAAGGTTTTTCTACTTCCTCCGGCCTTTAAAGGATAACTGTAGGGATATGTGAAGAGAAAGTTTTGTTGTGGAAGTTTCTGCCCTAAAGGTACTAAATCAGCTTCTATGCCAGTGGTCCTCTGTTAGCTGAATAATTTTCTTTTCTGACAAGATCTGATTTCTCTAATGATAAATCATATTATTTTTGTATTTCTTGGCTAGCTTTCAGAAAAACATATCTGCATGTGTGTATTTTTATTTTATTCTTGTCTATTATTTTTATTCTGTAGCTATATTGTATTCGTTGTCCTAGTAATCTTGACCATATTCATTCCAGTATTGGAAGGACATAGTATAAATATTCCACTAATAAGTAACAGGAGCCTTGTCCTTGTTCAGGACAGGTATGTACATTTTAGTGACTTGAATCTCCAAAAGAAAAATCATATATGAATATTCTGTCTCTGTCTGTCTGTCTGTCTGTCTGTCTGTCTGTCTGTCTGTCTCTCTCTCTCTCTCTCTCACACACACACACACACACACACAGGGAGAGAGAGGGGGGGATTCTTTCAGGACAGCA